TTCGCTAATTTTCGAGAAAATCGCATTTTTATGTTTTTGTAGTTCCAACTTTCACCGCTAGATGGACGCCAATTTTTTAGTCCATGTTTTGACCTTTTTTTTAATTTTCTTTTCTAGCACTTTTAGGAGGTTCTTGTGGCATCATAAAGGTTCCAGAGAGGTCACAGATTGGTTTCTGACCCTCTGAAGTACTTAAAATTCGCTAGTTTTCGAGAAAATCGAAATTTTATTTTTTCGTAGTTCCGCCGCTCGCCGCTAGATGGCGCCACCTGTATCGTTTTCGACCAAATTCGACAAAAATTGATTCTCTGGCTTTATTAGGCATCAAAACGCATCAAACCCTAATGGAAATTTGTTTCTAAATGCCTCAGGGACCATATTACGTCGACAAAGTGCCAAAATATTCATTTTTTTATTTTCCTTATATCAGTGTTCGGACCCTCACTTTTTAGGATCAGTTTTTTCGGTGATTATTCGTTCGTGGCAAGTCTAATTTAAATTTTTGTTTTTTATGTCCATCTGGATGTACATACGCATGTACATGCAAAATTTGACGAGAATTGGTTGAGTGCTGCAAAAAAAAAACGCGGACAAATAAGTTGCAAAGTCAAGTATAAGAGCTTCGCTCGCCTTCGGCTCGCTCGCTCAGTTATTATATTTTGTACTTCCTTCATTTCGTCAGCAAACAAAATCATCTACAGAAAAAGTAAAGGAAACGTTACACTCCATTTCATCCCAAAAACATTAAAAGCATTTTGAAGGCATTAACGTGTACATTATAATTCAAATTTTCGCGCGCTCTGACTTGAACAATACCGTTTGCGCCATCTAGCGACGGAATGTGTAAACTAATCTATAAAAACGTATATCCAATGACGCATATAAGAAAATTATAAAAAGTCATATTTCAATACTTTCTGGATATACATATTATGTTTCCTGAGACATAAAATATGTAAAGCCACGTTTGATCACTAGATGGCGTGAATGGTACTGTTCCCAAACAGCGCGCGCGAAAATTTGAATTTTGAAACAAGTGTAATTATAAGGCTTTCAAAATGCTTCCAAATTTTTAATTCAATTACTCTACAATGATCTACTTTCTTTTATATCTCCTTGCATATTAAATCACTACAGCATTTCTCTTATAAATATAAATTTGATTGGAAAATTCAATTATGCAGACACAATAACTTACGTACTAATATGCTTACGACAACCTTTTCTATCACCTCTCTAAATCATAAAGTGCGCAGTAGAACTGCTTTCTTTTTAAGTAAACGTGTATATATTTTTTACATCATAAAATTATATCCATCTATACAGCTTGACATTAAAAATATCACGTCATGAATATAACATTGATCTGTGATCACTGATGCAAGAAAAAACTATAGTTTTTGTAGTACCTTTTTTTAAACTTTTTTATGACCATTTATGTTTTTCTCTAATTCATGAATTCAATTTTATTCTAATTAATCTTCTGATTTTATCGAATGATATTTTATAGTTCCCAGCCTATTTTACTGTTATATTTCTTTATGGAATTTATTATTTTTTTTCTGTGTTTTTATATTCTCAATTTGTTGATTATTTCTATGAAATAAATTTGTTGAATATTCTCCTTTTAACATAATAATAAAAATGTAATTCAGAGGGAGTTACTTGTTATCTAGTGAATACTTTCAAAGTTTTTAGGTTATAAGAAATTTCTGCAAGGACAACATTGGTAGTGTTATCGTGATATAGCATTATTTAGGCAAAAAATATCGTCCCATTTATCGGACGACAGATAAAATCTTAAAATTAATTATGTGAGCAGTTGAACCCTGCCAATCAATTCTGTATCGATATGTCGGCCTCAAGTAACGTTGAAACAGTGTTAGCATACAGATTGGCCTGTTTGGCCGTCTGACAAATATGAATTTATGGCATAATCTTATAATTTTAATAATCGAACATGGTGAAGGAAAAACCAAATTCAATCCGTATTTACGATTCAGAGGGTTACAGACGGCGAGCTGCATGTATCTGCGTCAAAAACGATCTTGAGGATGAGGTGAGCCAGCAGATGGCAGCTGATATTTCTTACTTTAATATTGCAACATTTATTTTAGTATTAGTTATTATTTTATTTCTGGATTTTAATAGGCAATATTGTCAACTGAATTCTATATCATAGGTACTGTTAGTTACATCCAGCCGAAGACCAGATAGTTGGATAGTGCCTGGTGGAGGTGTCGAACCAGAGGAGGAACCTGCAGTAACTGCGTTACGAGAAGTTAGAGAGGAAGCTGGTGTTCTAGGGCAGTTGGGCCGATGTCTTGGCATATTTGAGGTAAGAATGTTTTAAACACTACAACAAAAAGCAAAAAGTGGGACAAATTCTTACTGGAACTTTTTTTTTTCAGAACGTTGAACACAAACATAGGACACAGGTATGGGTTATGCGTGTAACCGAAGAACTGCCAGAATGGGAAGATTCACGTGCTATCGGTCGAAAACGAAAGTGGTTCTCTATACCAGAGGCCTTGTTTCAGCTTGCTCAGCACAAGCCCGTCCAGCGTTCTTATATACACAGCCTCCACAATACTAATCCTCAACATAATCCCAATATTTCGCCACCTCACCATTCGCATACTACTGTAACGTCTATTCAGTTGATGAATAATTCTAGTAATAATCCTCATCTTAACAAACATAGCTAATATTAAATACCATCCATTTGCGTAAACAATTGAGATCAAACATTGAATATTTTGTTGCTGCTCATTTCCTTTCATACAGTTATAGCAGCCACTGAGGTTGCATTTTATATGTAAAATGACACTATTTGTACATTCTCTGGTTTTTTTGTTTTTTTTTCTCACTTGTTTCGTTTTGTTAGTAGTACAATTATTATGAACCTTGTTATTATACTACTAATACTGCTACTATACAATTACACCACCACTACTATTGCTATTACTATTACTGTTAATATTGCTATTCTATCATTATTGCAAACACTATTATTACTATTATCACTGTTATCAGTGTTATGCTTATTCATACGATTAGTTAATAAACTGGTCCTTAAAGGAGCAGTTTTTCAGGTTCAGTTCTCATTTCTATCATATATTCTTGTCAGGGAAACAATTAGTGCTTACATTTCATATACAAATAAGTACCTAATTTTCATACGTAAAGTGGATGGTGTTTTATGCAAGAAAATGTTTCACAATTAGAATATTTCTCTCATGTTGTTTGCATATACTCAAAGAATATTATAAACTTCATAATGAAACATATCTGTACCTCATCGATTTGTTTCTTTCAAACAAGATTTTTGATGGTATGTGATAACTGCTTTGTATTTGTTTCTGTAACAGTTACTACCTTTTGCATACTATGGGTCAGTATGTAGTTTACAGACTGAATCGTTTAAAGAATTGCTGTAGGGATTGTTTAGGATATGCGTTTCAGAAAAAATAAAATTTCTCTTCTTATAAACCGTAAAAGGAATTAGTATAAAGGCTATTTAATGTAAAATGAAATATAGATACATGGATATACCATGAATTTTGTAGATTTCATTTTTTGTAATTATGTATTTAAATTTTCTATGACTTCTCAAGTATCATTAATGAAATATTATTGTACTTCACTTTTACCAATGTTATTAACTTGTATTATTTCAAATTGAAATGATTTGATTCGCACAAAAAGTTGCCAATAAAATTATGATGGAAAAAATATCTATATTTTTGAACCAGTGATGAGCATGTCAAGAGCCATATTGTCCTATTACGTCCACGTGTGTCGTATCTGTGTACATAAATAAATTGAGAGGTAAGTTTTTAAGTTACTGTTTACGGTAATGGTCAATTTTTTAAATTTTTAATATTATATGTGAAAGTTAAATGTTATTTTACAATTATATTATTGAATACCTGTTTACTTATTTTTCATTTAACCATTTAAAAATAAGTGAGGTTAAGTTATATCCAAACTTTTGGTTACTGAAGTATTTGTTGTTGAAAATTATAGACGTATCTTTTCTAAAGATGACTATCTTTTATAAAGAAATACCTAAAGAAATGGAGTATGAACCAATGGATGAAACTAATGAGGATATGGAGGAAAGTAGCAGTAGTAGCGAAGAAGAAAAAGATTCTATGGAAAATGAAGATGTTGAAGAGAAAGAAGATCAAAATACAGAATCCAAGGTATATCTTCCTGGGCAACCATTAAAAAGTGGAGAAGAACTTGTAGTTGACAAAACAGCATATAGACTTCTACATCATGCACAATCTGGTGCACCTTGTCTCAGTTTCGACATAATCTCGGATAACCTGGGTAACAATAGAGAAAATTATCCTTTGAGTATGTATCTTGTTGCTGGAACACAAGCTGCCAAAACGCATGTCAATAATCTTCTTGTTATGAAAATGAAAAATCTTCATGGCACTAAGGACGATTCTGATGATGAGTCTGATGATGATGAATTAGACAGTGATGATGATACAAATACACCTGTAATGCCTGTTGCACCAATCAAACATCAAGGTTGTGTTAATAGAGTAAGGTAGATATATATCCTTACTTTTCACATAAACTGTAGTTATGTTTATATTATTATGTACTATATATTTTGACAGATATACAAAACTTGGTGAGACAACTGTAGCAGCAAGTTGGAGCGAGTTAGGTCGTGTACATATTTGGAATTTAGATGAACAGTTAAAAGTGCTTGATAATGATGAACTGCTTCGTGCATATCGTAAAAAGTGTGAAAAAAACGATGGAGGCATCAAACCATTATTTACATTTAAAGGACATCTTTCAGAAGGATATGGATTAGACTGGTGTTCAACTGAATTAGGTACTTTAGCTTCTGGTGATTGTAAGGGTAATATTCATATATGGCGTATCAGTAACAGTAGTAGTACAACATGGCACGTGGATCAAAGACCATACAATTCACATGCACCACACAGTGTTGAAGATATTCAGTGGTCTCCTAATGAAAGACATGTGCTTGCTTCATGTTCTGTTGACAAAAGGTATTTATTTTTATTGTAAACTTTTTATTTTTGACATAAAAATGGCATTATTTTTTCAGTATTAAAATTTGGGATACAAGAGCAAGCCCGCAGTCTGCTTGTATGTTAACAGCATCTGGCACACACACTGCTGACATTAATGTTATTTCATGGAATCGTACTGAAAGTCAGTTTCTTGTATCTGGTGGTGATGATGGTTTGATTTGTGTATGGGATTTGCGTCAATTTGGCTCTAGTTCGAGTCCATTAGCTATATTTAAACAACACACCGCACCCGTTACAACAGTTGAATGGCATCCACAAGAAGCTACTGTATTTGCTTCTGGTGGAGCTGATGATCAAATTGCTCAGTGGGATTTGTCAGTAGAAGCTGATGAATCAGAAGATACAGGAAGTAATGAATTGAAGGAATTACCATCCCAGTTATTATTTATACATCAAGGACAAACAGATATTAAAGAATTGCACTGGCATCCTCAATGTACTGGTGTGCTGGTATCAACAGCACATTCAGGATTTAATATATTTCGTACAATTAGTGTATAATAAATTAATCTGTTTAATAATGCAATGTTTTAGAAATTATTTGTAATCAAACTACTATTCAAAATCTCCTTCTCATACAATTAAGATAAATATGCTCTTCATTTATTTTATTGTAGATGTATAAAACAAATTTTAAGATTAATTTTTGTGTACGAGATGTAATGATAACAGATGTCTTATTGTTGGTCTACCGTGGGGGCAACTCCAAGGATTTTCCATTTGTGCCATTTGTGTAACTAATTTTTGCATTTCATTATTATTAAGAGCTGTACCAATCATAACTGCACTACGACAAGCTCTTGATGCTAACATTTGTCTCACACGACTTGGACGGTATATATGGTTTTCTTTATTTTCTACACCACCTTCTCTAATAAGAAATATCAGTTCTTCTATATCCTCTTGTCCAAACTGCCAGTATCCACTAACTGGCATACCCGTAAGTTCCACGCGATGTCCTGATTCAGCTAAAATATATAAATATATTTTTCCCTTTTAACACCTTAACTGTTACACCAAAGCTATTGAAAATTTCATTAACTAACATTTTTATTTTCAATAAATTTCATCTTTTTTCATAATATTTCATTATAATTTTAAGTGCTTGATATGCGTTCTTCTGATTATATAAATAAAAGCAAATTCAAAAGAAAATTCAAACATCACTTGCATATAGATGATCGAATACATTAAATAAATAGTAACATTAGATTATTTTACCTTCAAGATTAATTTTAAAACAGAAACCATTATCTTCAAATGTGTTTTGGTGTTCAATTAGTATAGTTTCATTTAAAGAAGACAAATTTAATGCTTTAGGGACAATTAATTTCTGAGTTTTTAGTTGTGTTTCATTATTAAGTTTTTCAAACCGATACTTTTCATCAGTAGCATGTTGATCAATAATAAATAAATCTTCTTCCAAACGAGCTATTATAAAACCAAGATTAAATTGACCTATGATTTCCATCTGTAAAATATTTTTCGTTTTAGTAATATATTTTATATATTCATTATTTATAACATATCTAGTAAAATATAAACTATAACCTTAAGAAAAGATTCCTTTGTTAATTCTCTTTTCAGTTCGTCTTCAGCAGTAGAATTTTTAGTACATTCCATTTGTACCTTATATTTAATTTTTGTGTTCACAGCCATGTTACTTTTCAATGAGATCACCCGTTTTTCTTGAAGTTTCTGCTTTATCGTTGAAATATTAATTAACATTTCTGTATTGTCCAATTTTTTTACTGGACCTACTATATTATTTTGTACATTGTCATCATATTCAATAACTTTGTTTGTACTGTCATGCTGTACATTATTTTCTTCCGAATGTTTTGTATCTGATGATATATATAAATTCTGAAATCTCTTGGCTGGCCGATCTGTATTTGTAGGTGAAATTCCTCTTTTTGTTCCAAAATTTAATTCAGATATAGGTTTTATGTTCAAATTTGCTTGTAACTTATCCCACACAGATATTAAACTAAATTTCAGAGTTGCTAATATTAGACGTTCTTGCGTACAGAAAATAGTTCTTTTATCTGGAGTCACATTAATATCGGTTGATTGTTTATCGAGTTTTAAATTTAAAAAAATAAACGGATACTGTTTGTTATTATATCTGTGATAAATATGATTAATTAATTTATTAACTTTTGTGAGATCACACGGTCGACCATTTACATAAAAAAATTGTCTGTCAGGACTAGATCGTCCAACAGAATGATCACAAGTGCTAACATAGGATTCCCATTCAAAATCTATAACCACATCATTTGCCAAATTGTACTCTTGTAATGTTGCTTCATCAGGAGGTAATAACTCGAGTTTGACTAGTCCATTTGAGGCTTTCTTACCAAATACTATATTAATATTATTTAAAATACTACTAGAACACGCAGTACTAACTACGACATTAGACTTTCCTGATACTGAATTAGAACACGTTATTTTTGTATCAGTAGAAACTATGCAATAATTGTATAGTACTTGAATAGCACGAGCATATTCCTTTTTCAAATTTCTTGTAAATTCTTTGGCTCTTACAGGAAGACACTTAAATATATTTTTAACATGTACAGTTGTCCCTGTTTCTCTTGCACATGCTTCTTTCTTTTGCAGTATACCATTGTGATCAAATTCAAGCTTGAAACCATGCTCACTTGTAGAATGTCTTGTAATAATACTTAGTTCAGCTAACGAGCAAAGTGAACTAAGAGCTTCTCCACGAAATCCAAAAGTATCTACTTCTGTTAGATCAGAGAATTCTTTAAGTTTCGATGTATGGTGCTTTAACCCTAATTGATAACGAGAAAAATACATTTTAATACAAATATCTGATATTTCCATAATATTTTGAGAGAAAATTTATGGATTGATATATTTATATACATACCTAATCCTTCAAAATCTTCTTCTAAAACACCACTACCATTATCGCTAATACTAATACATGATTGCCCATAGTCTTTCAGTTTAATATCAATTAATGTAGCACCACTATCTAAACTATTTTCCACAAGTTCTTTAATTGCAGTTGCAAGATCAAAAACCACCTAGAAAAAATATTACACATTCACAATGTAATGATACAAAAATAAGTCACATGAAATGCATGTTATTTTTAAAAGTAATTAATTTAGTAATATGAGAATAAGAATTATTTACAGGTTAATCGTACCTGCCCAGAACAAATTTGATGAATTGTTTGTTTATTAATAGCATTAATCTTCTTTGACTTTTCAGTTGTTGGAGTTACTTCTGTCATCATTAAATATTTAATTTTATTAAAATACAGAAAAAAACATTTATGTTTCGTTTACGACGTAGGAACATATATCATGATATATTAGACGATTACAACTTTAATAAATGAACGAATAACAATTAAAATCTTGTCATACAAAATTTTATTTTAAAAATCTAAATTCATTGCAGACGGGTTTAAGAAACGTGTGCTTACTAATCTTTCGAATTTCATTGGTTGTAATGATATGAAATTTTGGCGCGAATTATACGGTAGCGCGAAAATTTAAACGACTTAATTGTTTATATTTTTATCTTGTTACGTTAAAGCAGTTTTTTAATAAATGGTGTACTTCATTCTATATGGTAAAAAACAAAACGATAAAACGACTGTGAAATAAATAAATCGTTGCTTAAACATTTTAAATATTATAAATTATCAAAAAGCTTATCGGACACAATATACGGAATAAGGAAAATAGGATGCGATTACGTTTCCACTAAATTGTAATCAAATTTAATTTATAATACTTACAATATTTTCAGTATCTAGATTCCACAAATGTAACAAATTGCTCTGGCTATTATTACAAATGTTCGTTAAAAAAACAGGACTTCAGGAGGTTAACAAAAATGTAACTACAAAAATGAAGATGCGTTTGTTTATTATTAACCTTATGTAATATCGCTTCAAATTTTCAATTACATTATTATAGATAATAAAAATAAAAATAAAAAAAATAATAATAATCGCAATAATTGCAATAACCGTAATAATTATAATTGTAGTAGTAGTAGTAGTGGTAGTAGTAGTAGTAGTAGTAGTAATAGTAGTAGTAGTAGTAGTAATAGCAATAGTAGTAGTAGTAGGAGTAGCAGTAGCAGTGGTAATAATCATAATAAAAAATAATGATAAAAATATTAATAATAATCATAATTAATAACAATAAAAATAATAGCAATATGAATAATAATAAAAACAATAATGCTAATAATAATAATAATAGCAGCAATAATAATATATATAATATAATATAATATAATATGAAAATGTTTACAGGGTAGATACAACTTTTTTTTCATCTTGTATGGAGGTTTGTTAATTTTTTCATCTTAATAAATCGGTTTTTCTTAATTCAGTTTTTTTCTGTATTCATTCCTTATATTTTTATGTCGGTCAGCGTATGCGATCATCGAACGAGAGACACTGAAGTGACACGCTTCTTTATTTACCATTCTTTCTCGAGAGACGCTCGCACCTCGCATAACAGGCATATCATCAGTCGTATTATAGTATATTTTCTGAACACAATGTTTTTACACATGACGTTAGGAAACTTATGTTATTTTAATCCGGTCACGATGTATTCCAAAGAATTCGACTCGAAACAGAAGCTTTCTTCAAAATAAAAAGAAAGTGCGCTATAAACTTTTCGGTGTGCTTAAAAAAAAAAGACGATGATCTAAATTTGAAAAGGGATCCTTTTCTGTTTTTATACTGTTACACCAGTGATGGGCACATTAAGTGCCCGCTGAAAAGTTCACGGGCACAGAGGCATGCACAGTGCGTACAACGATGAAGTGTGCGAAAGAGAGAATGATATTGAATTCATTTCCTCATTTTTGACAACCAGATGAACGAGACACCTAAAGGCTACTACAGTAGACTCTCACTATATTGCCACTATTTATATTGTTTGATTAAATTTCAAGATTTTCTAACTTACACAATTTTAAATTTATAAAATCACAAGTTTGCATATAAACTTTGAAAATTTATAGAATTCCTATTATTGAATTTTCAAATTCACAAATGTATACATTTAGAAACTCGAAGATTTTTAAATTTATGAACATTCAAATCATAAATTCTCAAATTTAGAAATTGTTAAATTTGCGAAGTTTCAAGTGTTGCGTACAACCTCTATATATTGCCGATTCAAAAATTGTTCGTTCTCATAACCACTGTGGTAATATAACAAGAGTCTATTGCACCCTCGTGGGCGCAGTTGCCCATCACTGTATTACACAATGATAAGAAACACACATAAGATTTTTTCTTCTTTTTTTTTATATGACAAATCGTTGACAAAAATTTACACACTTTATTCAAAAGTTTGAACATGCAAAGAAATTATTTGGAACACAATTCGTGATCGGTTCTTATACTATGTAAATGTATACAACTCTGTTGTTTGCTAATTGGCATAAATACTCTACATTTTGCGACAATTGTTGAGTGGACAAATTTCTTCGGGATACAAAAAACTAGAAGAAACGTGTACACATTATTGTGAATGGAAAAATACGAAAATATTTCGAAACGTATTCTCTGTAAAAAAGTTTCGTATGAAAAATCAATCGGCGCGTTCGAAATTAATCTATTGCTGTATAATTACGAATTCCATTTCTTAACCGAAAATCTTTTTCGTTTATTCGACATATACTTTTCTTGTATTACCAATTTATGTTTCTTTTATTTTTTTTTTTTTTAAATAATCGACCGCCGCTCTTCCGAGTATTTTTAATCGAGAAATGTTTCCTACGACGAGGTTGCGCATAAAAGAAAAATGTTTTTAAAGGATGTTCGTCTATTCTCCTCTCTTTTTTTTAAGGGCGGCGACTGTGGTAGGATCAGCTAAAAAAAGTGTATAATACAATACATACAAATAATTGTTTTGCATGAAGAAATTAACGAGAGAAATGGTGTCGAAAAAATGGCCGCATTGTGCCCAAAAGCCGACCGTTTAAATTTTCGCGCGCGAAAAGGACTTGAAAGGATTACTGTTTATTCTACTTGGTGTGGTTATTACATTTTTTATCAAAAGCGAATTTTCTCGTACGAAAATACAAATAAAAATAAAAACGGAAGTCTCAGTTCTTTAACAGACTGATGAGCACAACACGTGATAACGTGAATTCGGAAGAGGGCACGTGTGAATTTTTATCACACATTTTGTCTACTATTATAGAGCGTACTGATTTCTGCCGTTCAACAAAATCATCGAAATGTCAGAATTTATCACGAAATCTGATCGAATCTGACAAACAATGTTTTCTTTATTTCATTATTTGTTTAATCAAATCATACGTCTCTAAATGTCAATTATTTTTAATCCTGCGGAAGTTGCAGCAGAATCTTTCTATAAATACTTTTAAACAAACGCATGGTACAGCGATTAAGAATAGCCCTTATATAATACAGTAAATTTCTATTTGCTAAGTAAGAGGAGGAGTATACAACTATCTGTGTTTGATCTTGGGAAATCCCGCGAAGGGTTCAGGAAGAACTGGAGACCTCGGGAGAGTCAGGGAGAGCTAGGGTGATCTAGGAAAAACCTAGGAGAGCATGGGAGATTCTAATTTCAGTTGGAAGTGGCAAAAGATCAATAAAGGTTGATCCTAAAAAATTAAGGGGTGACCAGAGAAAGGAATAGCTAAGGAGAGCCAAGAAGATCTAGAAAGAACTTGGGGCAGTTAGAAAGAATCCAGGGAGATGCTAGTAAAAGTTGGAAGTGGCAAAAGACTGATAGAGATGATAGAACACAAGAAAACCTAAGGAGAGGTAGGGAAAACCAAGGAAAGCCATGGATAACTAGGAAGAGCCTAGAAGCATACGAGGAGATTCTAGAGAGAGCTGAGAGTGATAAAAGATCGTTAGAACTAGTAGAACTTACAGGAAGGAGAACTCTCCCTAATTCTCCTTACATATGAATAAAAAGGGTAATAACTTCCTCCTCTATTTTGTTCTCTTTTTGCAAAAATTAACGCTGTAGCAGATTGTAAATAAATTATATAGATACACGAGGAATTTTTAGATTGCAACGTCCGCAAGTTCAAAGTTAACCGAGAAACAAAGCGTTGTACGTTTTAATACAGAAATCGAGTGACTTTATGGTTGTTAGTAATTGCGACACATCGGATCGAATATACACCATTACGTTTATCATTTCTCGTTTATTCCATTTAAAACAAAAAACTTGTTACGCTTTTTTTCTTTCTTTAAAGTTAAAGTAACATAAGCAATGATCGTCATACACATTAGGGCAAAGTAAAAATACTATATATATATGTATGTATATATATATATGTATATATGTTTTCCGTTATTTGAAAGTCTAATATGAGTTCGAACGAATGTCGTATTGGCGAATCGTTTAAGTCTATCGGCAAATCTTTCGCATTGCAGATGATATTTGAAAAATGCAAAATCCTAAGGAATCTGTGGCTTGGAAAAATCATTGATTTCCCGTTACATTCTTATTCGTGATTCCTATAGCGAAATAATGAGGCAGTCAATACAAAATTTGAAAATTTTCCTCGAGGCGTACACAGTGAAGTAAATTCCTCGAGGAAAAAGTCCTCGATGTTTTCGCATCAGTTTTGTTTGTTTTGGAGTTGAACCATATCGATGAAAACTGGCGAAACGAATTCATAATCGATGCCATTTAAAAAAAAAAACAGAATGTTAAAAAGTTCAATTATTCTAATCGTTTAAAAATCATACCATGCTTCGAGTGTACAATAAAACATGTCCATCAATTACGATTCGAATCTATATTTCATAGCGTTTCGTTTCTATATAAAACAATACAAAACGGTCAATAAAATGTCGTAAAATAAATTTTTAAAATATCAACCTGTTTCCACGTATACGTCGCAAACAAAGAAATCGGAAACATGCAAAGTATATTTCGTATCAAGAATTGATCTGTTGCAGCGGGTATATGTTATTAATTAATAAGTATCGAAATTTTACATTGTTCGTCGTGTATCTCGTTTTATATTAACCTTATCATTATTGACACAATTTATTTGTTTATTTAATTAGTTCGCCTTCTGGCATCAAAAATTCCTGTGTATCGAGTCGTACGTTCACAACTAAGTATCAAAAACAAAAAAAAAAAAAAAATGAAAAGTAATACAGTTTTAATAAATTACCAGACAGTTTGGAAAAATAGAGATGACCAATGAATGCCAGAAAACGATATAATAATGTAATATAAACAACGCTACAATTATTTGAAGTGAAACGGCAAAAATCAATTACGACTGCCATTGGAAACATATGTATATGAGTTTACGCGCGTATTCGTTTATTATAAAGTATCTAGGTTTTTTTGTATGATTATATCATTCTTGATCGATCTTACGTGTATACTGCTTCTTTAACTTTCTTATTACTGTTTTTTTTCTGTATAAATATGTATTGTTGTTAAATCATGCAAACCTCGTTTGTTCGAAGTCCATTTTGTCGGGTAACAAACTGACGTTTGCAACGTCCCCCC